ACATCCTGAGGGTTACCATTGTCCAGGAACTGAACTGGGACCCAGCCCCATATCAATACTGCAGCTACTGGAGCAGGTCAGAGGCTGGGAATCCTGCAGCAAGTAACTCTTCTCCCCGCCCCACCAAAAGCCTGTCCCCACCATTGACCAGGCACAAGTCAGGAATGAACTTGCCTGGATGGGGGCAGCTCCAATATTACTTGAGAAGCTCCACACTTTCCAGGACAAAGGAGCCCCCCACCTCCCTCCCTGCTCGATGGACACACTAACCCCCACCTTCGACGCTCCCTCCATCACCGACACACAGCAGCAGCAATGTGCACCATCTCTACAAGATGCACTGCAGCGACTCACCGAGGCTCCTCCGACAGCACCTTCCGAACCTGCCACCCTCTGCCCCCTGGAAGGGTGAGGGACAGCAGATGCAGGGGGTAACACCACCCCCTGCAAGTTCCCCTCAGAGCTCCCCCCACACCGTCCCAACTTGGAGCGATATCGGCCGATCCTTCAGTGTGGCCGGGGTCAGAATCGTAGACAATTAGGACTGGGAGTAGACCATTCAGCCCTTTGAAACTGCTCTCCCATTCAATGGGATCGTGGCTGATCATCCAATTCAGCCCCCTGTTCCCGCTTTCTCCTGCATAGCCTTTAATCCCTTTAGCCCTAAGAACTATATCCAACTCCTTCTCAAAACTCTTCAATGTTTTCTGTGGCACAGAATTCCACGGGTTCCCACTCTCTGCATGAAGACATTTCTCACTATCTCAGTCTTATATGTCTACACATAACCTTAGACTGTGACCCTCTGGTCTGGACTCCCCAATCATTAGGAACATCCTTCCTGTGTTTCCCCTGTCCCCTGTTAGAATTTTATCGGTTTCCATGAGATCGCTCTTCATTCTTCTAAACTCCAGTGAATATAGTCCTAACCATTCCGGTCCCTCTTCATACGTCAGCCCTGCCATCCCAGGAATCAGTCTGGTAAACCCTTTGCTGCACTCCCTCCATCGCCAGAACATCCTCCCTCAGACAGGGAGACCCCAAAACAGTGCACACAGTACTCCAGGTGTGGCCTAACCAAGGCCCCAGTACAGCTACAGCAAGACATCTCCTGCTCTTATACTCAAAACCTCTCACCATGAAGGCCAGCATCCCATTGGCCTCCCAGGTCTCGTTGAACATTCCCGTCTCCCAATTTACAGCCTGTCAAATAACAAACTCCGTCTGGGTTCCAAGCACCCGTCCCTGTGGTACCCCACTAGTCACTTGTAAGCCATGTTTTGGTCACTGTTCTCATTGCTCTCGTGCGCCAAACAGAAGCGTTCAATTTTCATCGTTCACCCATTCGCTCTTTGAATGTTTGCCATTGCTTATCCACTGTCATAGAACATAGAACAGTACAGGGCCTTCAGCCCACGATGTTGTGCCGACCTATTATCCTACTAAGATCAATCTACCCTGCATATCCTACATTTTACTATCCTCCATGTGCCTTTCCAAGAGTCACCTAAAAGTCTCTAATGTATCTGACTCCACTACCACTGCCGGCAGCGCATTCCACACGCCCACCACTCTCTGTGTGAAGAACCTACCTCTGACATCTCTCCTATACCTTCCTCCAGTCACCTTAAAATTATACCTCCTCGTAATACTCATTTCTGCCCTGGGAAAATATCTGTGACTATCCACTCTATCTATGCCTCTCATCATCTTGTACACCTCTATCAAGTCACCTCTCATCCTTCTTCGCTCCCTCAACCTTTCCTCATAAGACCTGCCCTCCAGTCCAGGCAGCATCCTGGTAAATCTCCTCTGCACCCTCTCTAAAGCTTCCACATCCTTCCTAAATTGAGGCAACCAGAACTGAACACAATATTCCAAGTGTGATCTAGCCAGAGTTTTATAGAGCTGCAGCATAACCTCACGGCTCTTAAACTCAATTCCCCTGCCATTCCTTTCCCAATTCCCTCATAGCCAACTCATTCCTCATACCATCATAGCTTCCTTCATTAAGATTCCACACCTTTGTCTCGGATCGATTACCTCGCTCTCCATTAGGATAAAGAATTCCATCATATTATGCTCACTCTTCCCCAAGGAGTGTCTCTCAGCCATGTTGCCAATTATTCCTTTCTCTTTGCATAACTGGCCCGTTCTCTTGTTGGGTTCCTCAATGTATTGCTTCCAGAAACCCGTCCTGAATACACTCTGGGAATTCCTCCTATACCGTATACAACTAATTTGACTCGCCTAGGTTAAAGTCACCCGTACGAGAGCTGTTCCTGTACTGTATTCCTGTTTAATACCATTCCCACTCCCACTAGTGTCGTCCTGCCTCTTGGTATTACTCTATTCTACCCCAGCAGATTCAATATCTCAGTTCTGAGGAAGGGTCACCGGACCCAAAACTTGAACTCTTGACTTCTCTCTGCACAGACGCTGCCAGACCTGCTGAGCTTTTCCAGCAATTTCTTTTTCTGTTTCAGATTCTACATGGTCTGAACTGATATCTTTGCTCTACGTTGTGTTGTAACCTCTTTAACCAATAATGTAACTGCCCCACCTTTTCCCTTTTGTCCTAAAGACATACAGTTCCCATCCCTGGTCACGTTGCAGCCATGTCTCTGTAATCCCAGCTCTGTGATCAATATGCCTGATGAATTCATCCACTTATTTTGAATGCTGTGTGTATTAAGCCCTGTTTCTCTTTAACATTCCTTGTCCCACTCCCACTGTTTGGTTTCTAAACTGCAGCCTCGTTTGAATAAGGAACAGGCCCTTCGGCCCTCCAAGCCTGTGCCGACACATTTTGCCCTACCATGCTAAAACTGCCTTCACTTACAGGATCCGTATCCCTCTCTTCCCCTCCCATTCGCTGTTGTGTCTGCTTCCAGCACCTGCCTCGCGTGACTCTGTTAAACATCACCCCCCTCCCTCCCCCACCGCCCCTCCGCCCCTCCACCCCTCCGCCCCTCCGTACCTCGTACCTTGTACCTGTGTCCCCTAGTAATTCACCTCACCACCCTGGGAAAAAGATTTTGGTCAGCCTATGGCTTCTGTTGTTTCCTTGAAATTTTGTGTGTGGCCCTGTTTCCCCTTCCTGTGATTCCTTGCAAGGTTCCCACACCACCGCCACCCCCCCCCACCAATCCTCCCCTCATGAATAATGCCACCTTGGGGGCATTAGTCCCAGTCCTACCCAGTATGTAGTGGCTCGAGCTCCTCTTATGCTATCTCTTCTGACACTTGTTTGCCTGATATTATTTCTGCCTGACTAGCTCACTCCCTTTGAGGTCCCACGTCCTGGCTTGGTTTCCCAACTCCCAATATTCTGCTTTTAGGACCCCACGTTCACCCTCAGGGACATCTCTGTAGCTGCTTCCTCCAAACCCCTGCGAATTCTGAACTTTTCGCTTCCTCCTTCTTTCCCTTAGGGCCAAGTTCCGGCTGCGAGGCCTAGTCGGCAGGAGGTGAGCCGGGACAGCGGGTGGCTGGCTTCCTCCAGCTCGGTGGCCCGGGAGCTCGGCCACCCTCTGCTGGAGCAGATGGCCAACATCGAGTGCTTCCTGGCTCAGGCCCGGTCCGCGGGGCGCCTGAGCGAGGCCCGCACCCTGGAGGAGAACCTGCAGCAGCTGCAGGACGAGTGGGATCGGATGCAGAAGGAGGAGGCACAGGAGAGCGAGAGGAGCAGGAGGAAGCCTGAGGCCTACTCCTTCGAGGCCGGGACCCGGAAGCCTGAGGCCTACACCTTCGAGGAGGGGAGCATGGAGGAGGAGAGGAGCAGGAGGAAGCCTGAGGCCTACCAGGCCTCTCCCTTCAATGACGCCTCCCAAGCCGGGGGGGGCCTCAACCCCTTCGAGGAGGACACCGAAGGCCCCAACCCTTTTGAGGAAGAGGAGAGGAATTGGAGGAGTCCCAGCACCTGCCCCTTTGAGGGAAAGAGCGAGGTCTGCAACCCTTTTGAGGAGGTGGAGGCCTCAGGGAACCCCTTTGAGGAGCAGAAGAGGAGCTGGGGTTTCGGGGGCAACCCCTTTGAGATGGAGGAGGAGGAGGAGGAGATTGAGGAGGAGTTGCTGAGGCAGCAGATCGATAACATCAAGGCCTACGTGTTTGATGCCAAGCAGGCCGGGCGCCTGGACGAAATGGCCAGCCTCCTGGACAATCTGGCTGAGCTCAAGCAGGCCCTGGAGGGTGCCCGAAGCAGACACCAAGCCCACTGACCCCTTCCCCCCTCAACCACCCAACCCCCCCCCCCCACCCCCCCCGCCCCAGGCCCACCCCAAGAAACTCAGAACCCCACCACAACCAGGGCCCACCCTGTCTGGTCGGCCGTGGGGTGGGGAGGGGGTGCACCGCAATGAAGGGTATTTGGCAGGGTGTGTGGCACTGCCCTTTGGACCCAATGGGGAGAGGGTTGCTGCCCCACTATCCCCTGTGATTTGAGGAGGGGTGCGTGCTGGGGATGAGCTCACTCAGCACCACCTCCCTCCCCCCCCCCTTCACCTCTCCTCCCCCCACAGCCCCCCCTAGGTCATGGCAAGGAGTGAGGGTTTGAGAGGGTGCAGTAGGGGAGCTGTGAAGGAGTTGGGAATTTGTGGGGGTGTGGGCATACATCTCTGTTTCTGGGACAATAAACCTCCGCGGTCTGATTTTGCAGCATTCTGTTCTCAAACACTAACATAACCCCACCTCGCCCGCTCTCCCC